CGACGGCAGGGCGGCTCGGCGGCTCGGCTGCTGGGCGGCTCGGCGGTCGGCTGCTGGGCGGCTCGGCTGTCGGGCGGCTCGGCGGCTCGGTTGCTGGGCGGCTCGGCGGCTCGGCTGCTGGGCGGCTCGGCGGCTCGGCTGTTGGGCGGCTCAGCTGCTGGGCGGCTCAGCGGTGAAGGGGCCGGTAGAGGCGGCGACGAGGCCGGTAGAGGCGGCGATGGGGCCGCTAGGGGTGGCTACGGGGCCGCGTAGGGAGGGGAGAGGCGACGGGGCCGCTAGGGGCGGCTACGGGGCCGCGTAGGGCGGCGACGGGGCCGCGTAGGGGCGGCGACGAGGCCGCGAAGTGGCGGCGACGGGGCCGCGTAGGGAGGGGAGCGGCGACGGGGCCGCTAGGGGCCGCGACGGGGCCGCGTAGGGGCGGCGACGGGGCCGCGTAGGGGCGGCGACGGGGCCGCGTAGGGAGGGAGGCGGCGACGGGGCCGCTAGGGGCGGCGACGGGGCCGCGTAGGGGCGGCGACGGGGCCGCTAGGGGCGGCGACGGGGCTGCGTAGGGAGGGAGGCGGCGACGGGGCCGCGTAGGGGCGGCGACGGGGCCGCGTAGGGAGAGAGGCGGCGACGGGGCCGCTAGGGGCGGCGACGGGGCCGCGTAGGGGCGGCGACGGGGCCGCGTAGGGGCGGCGACGGGGCCGCGTAGGGAGAGAGGCGGCGACGGGGCCGCTAGGGGCGGCGACGGGGCCGCTAGGGGCGGCGACGGGGCCGCGTAGGGGCGGCGACGGGGCCGCTAGGGGCCGCGAGGGGCCTGGAAGGGCGGCGACGGGGCCGCTAGGGGCGGCATGAGGGGCCGTGAGAGGAGCCTCTAAGAGAGCTCGACAGAAGGGCGGCCCACAAGGCGCGCCTCGGGCAGGAGCGACTGGCGCTCCGGTCAGAAAAAAAATTCAGTGGTGGGCCCAAGGAAGCGTTCCCACTAGGGAACCTACTCTGATACCATGTGAAGAAAGGAGGAATGAATGAACTAGCACAAGGTTGGGTACAAGTAGGAAACCCTAGGAAACTGTACCCCATAGTGTCTACCCCACTATAGCCTAGACAAGCTATATGATATGAGTTTGACGAGTTTGACACACCGATCACTACAGTACCTACGCGCCCAACCAAATCTAAATCCACGACAGATTCGCTGGTTGGACTACCTCGAGTACAACTTCCACTACACGGTTACGTACAAGAAAGGCGCATCCAACATCGCCGACGCACTCACCCGCCCTACCGCCCAACTCCACGCCATCCTACTCGCCCAGACCAACCCGCTTTTAACAGGCCTATTCACCCACGGATACCGCACCGACCCATTTTTCACGACCGGAAATTCACAGCAACTGGCAGAAGCTAAAGGAGTTTATTACGTAAATACAGGCACCAACCGCATCTGGGTACCCGCGTACTCACTACTGAGGGAGCTGCTACTGCAGGAGGCACACGACGGAATTACCTCGGGAAATTTTGGGGTAGAAAAAACGCGACAGCAACTGCAGCGGTATTACTACTGGCCGGAGCTGTTGACTGACGTGCAGCAGCACGTGGGCTCGTGCCCCACGTGTCAGGTGATGAAGAGCTCGAGGAAGCGGAAGGCGGGTCAATTGCAGCCGATACCACCGCCCGAGCGCGCCTGGCAGCAGGTTACCATGGACTTCGTCACAGGGTTACCTTCGAACCCTGGGGGTAACGACGCGGTGATGGTCGTCGTTGACAGGTTGACGAAGATGGCACACTTCGCTGCGTGCAAAAAGTCGATCTCAGCCGAGGAGACCGCTCGTCTGTTCATCGCAGCCGTTGTTCGCCTGCACGGGATACTAGCAGCGATTATCAGCGACAGGGACACTAAGTTCACCAGCAACTTCTGGAAGAACCTCTGGGAGCAGTTCAGGACCAGGCTACAGTTCAGTTCGTCGTACCACCCCGAGACCAACGGTCAAACGGAGCGGACGAATCAGACGATGGAGCAGTTGATTCGTGCCACGTGCGATGACCCCACGACTTGGGAGGAGCAGCTGCCGCTGAACGAGTTCGCGTACAACAACGCCACGTCAGTGACGACGCAGCAGTCCCCCTTCTACCCAAACTACGGGCAAAATCTTACAGTGCCCATGACGCCGAGTCCAGACAACCCAATACCACGTGCACAGCAATTCGCCGAAATTCTGCAAGCTGCCCGCACCAGAGCCGCAGAAACAATTAAAAAAGCAAACGTCATCGCTAAGCGCAACGCTGACCGCCACCGCCGCCCAGTCACATACCAGTCAGGGGATTACGTACTGCTCGACACGCAAAATCTGCGACTGCCCGACGTACCAAAACTTCGACCGCGCTACTGTGGCCCATTCCAAATCAGCCACATGATCACGCCAGTAACCGCGCACCTACTGTTACCGACCGACTGGTACATCAGCCCTTCGTTCCACGTCAGCTTGCTTCGCCCATACATCCCAACCACAAGCCAACTGCCTCGCCACCGCCCGCCATCCATGACTCGCCCTGAATCGGAGCCGATCATTGAGCCCGAAAAAGCCATCGGATTCGCCACCCCATGGGAATCAGGAGGATTGAATTCCTCGTTCGCTGGAAGGACCGCACGCCAACTGAAGATAGCTGGGTGCCCCTGGCCAACATTGAACACCACCCTGCCCTGCAAGTGTACTTGAGGAGCTGGGGATTCCGTGATATACACGCACTCGCGTAGCGGAGGGGGCTTCTTGAGGGAGGGGGGGGTAGTGTAAGGAATTTTCTCGGCATTCCTTACGGAGCCCGACTACATCGCGTACAGCAACAGCCGTTGTTCGCCCGTTACTGCTAACGGGACTTCGCCAACTTCGCGCGCACTGTTTTGCCAAACCTTGCACTGCTGGCCCGGCCGTGTCGGCCTACGCTTCGGGACTAGCCCGAGCCTCGCTGCCAGCGTAGCACTAGCTAGCTCGCACGCACCGCGTTACCGTTTGCATGTTCGCGTATAAATGTTCGCTCATGCCTTCGCTCACATCTTTGTACTCATTTGACACCTTAGTGCAATTCTCGCTACTTCGATTCATTGCACCCATAACAGCTTTACTAGATAGTGCAATCTTAGTTCGTTCACTCAATTGCACTTGTAACAATAGTATTTAAAAGATCGCTTGATTCGCGTTGACTGTGTTGAAGCCGCCAAACCTCGATTGCTTGGAGGGAGCTGCGCCAACCTTTTGCTCCCCCAAGCTCCGCCTCTCCCATGACCCCCTGCCCCCTCCCACCCCTTCCCCATCACCAGCCTCCCCCCGGTTTACTTGCGCACAAGGCGGTGAGGCCACACACGGCAGTGCGGTTGGAATGCCCGGCGAGGCGAGCGCATCCGCGCTGGCCTGCTGGTTTCCTTGCCAGCAGAACACCTTCTCGCTGCTCCATAGGCTCGCATTACACTCCTGTCTTGCACATGCTGTCGCAATTTGCCAGATGTGACTGACGCAGCATGCTTCACGAATCACGACATGCTTTGCCCTCTCGACCAGCCATGGTTGTTTAAAGGGAAATTATATGGGTAGTCACAACTAGACACGATTTTTCACATTTTTTTTGGAGGTATCACAAACAGTCACAGTACACCTCATATTTATCGCGTGTGATCAGAGTGCTATCACGGATAGTCACACCTTGCCCTTCAAGTCTATCACGTTTGGTCACAGATGAAGCGCCCAATCGAGAACTGTAACTACTCGACTCACTGTAGGGATTCAGGGGAAATTTTATCCCGCGCGCCGTTTTGTCCGTAGTGTCACGAAAAAGTTTCGCGACAACTCTCGGTAACTCGTGAAAAACATTACTCCTTAGAATATCACTTTTAGATGGGTGAAACTCGGTTAATTTTTGCTCCCAGTACAAAAACTAAAACCCGTTCGGATGGGATATAATTCGGGAGCATCAACCCTAAACACCTTGTCCCATAGTGTTTAGGGTTGATGCCTCCCGAACAACGTGCCATCCAGTAGGGGTTTTAATGTTTTCTTCAATTCCCTAAATGTCAGGGCTAGAATAATGCGCGGGGTAGCAAGCAATCAAGGTTGGGATTCCCTAAACTTTCTACTGTTTCTTTCTTGGTTTCAAATTAACTATGATCGTTTCATCGAGTGACCAAACGTGATAGCTTTTTCGGGGGGAGGTGTGACCATCCGTGATAGCACTGTGATTACCCGCGATAGAAATCTACTGTACTGTGACTGTTTCTGATACCCCTGTGATCAAACGTGTTAAAACGGGCATAATTGTGACCTCCTATATACTTTCCCTTGTTTAAGACGACGACGACGACCGGCACGCACCAGCGCGAGCCCGGCAAAGACCCCTTTTCCGCGCATCCCGCTCCGCGCCCAGCGGATGCGTCCTGCCCTACGCGCGTGCTGCTGCTGCTGATGCGATGCGAATCACCGCCAGCGCCACCGCCAGCCACTCACGGCTCGCTGTCACCTCACCTGCATTCTCTCTCTCGTCCTCGCTCGTCTTGGCGACACTGCAGCGCTACGATGCCAATGACGACAGGAGGTCTAACTTGCAAGAGAGCCGCCAGGCCTGTTGGTAGATTGGAGAAAGCCTACTTACAGACCGCTATTGAGCTCACAAGAGGCATAAGAAAGCGAGAGCTGGCCGTCAAATCCGTTTTTGCGAGTCCGTTTTCATCTTCAAGTCACCAGGCCGTTCCATCGCGCTACGATTGTGGTCAACGCGTATTACAAGTCTAAGAATGCGATAATCCCTCCCTCCGGTCCGAACGAACGAGTTTCCCAAATCGCCGTTTTAGACGTTTCAAGATTAGACCGAGAGTGACTGCACATTCTGGCGGTCGCAAAAGCTGAGTGACCCACCCCATCTTGACACCGTGCCGAGCGACTTGGCGAGCGACACTATCAGTCACCAGCGTTTCATCGCGGAGTCGCAGAGCCGTCGCACGCTGGTAGCGTAGCAAGAAAGGACCTAACATGATGACGACACACGTCCGCATCCGTTCAGTCTTACTAGGAAAGGCGGCAGTTGCAAACCCGGCCGTCATTTCCCTCAGCCGCAGTATCGCGCTCATTGTCTTGATCACCGTCGCCGCAATCTCCGGAGTTTGCTCCGCTCCGCCTCCTCTTTCCGCTTCGAATCCGCCCGAACGGCCTTCCGCGTCGCCGCGCCTCCGGCGGAGCCTCCGACCCCGCCTCCCCTCCGCGGCCCATGCGGAATTCTCTTCTCCCCTCACCGCCGCGCAAGCCGCGCCTTGCGGAGCTGCTGCTGTTGCGACAACCAGACGCGCTACTTTGAGCGGCGGCGATTTCCGTCGCGACGAGTCGCTGGACGCGCTGCGACGACGTAGGCGACTGGGCGGCAAAGTCGACGGGTGGAATCTGTCGCTGAGGCAGTACGCGCTGGCGGCGAATCGCACGCGTCGCAGGGACCCGCTGAACGGGATGCGCGTGTACGAGGGCGGCTACGACCCCGCCAACCTGCACTACTGGGCCGTGCGTCCCCTTGCCACGCCTTTTATCAAGCCTCACCACCACACCGCACCACGCTACACCACACCACGCATGTCTTTTTTAGTTATCTCCTCAGCGGCTCACGAGACTGGCTTTGACTGATTCGTTGTTCCTTTCGACAGCCCCTACAACCAGAGTGAAGGTATGATGGCATACTGCGACTAGCAGGTTCCGGTAGCTCTCCCCCTTCGCTCGCCGGGGCCCCTCCTCTCTTCCTCTTCCGCCCCCTCTTCCCACTCTCCCCTCCCCACGTCCCTTCCCCTCACCCACTCCCCCTCCCCCTCCCCCTCCCCCTCCGCTTCCCCCTCCCTTTCCCCCTTCCTCCCCCAGTCCCTGGGTGTGACAGCGGGGTTCGGGCCGGTGATAGCGCTGCTGTGGCTGCTGCTAGGGCTGGGCTTCATAGGCGGCTCATGCTGCTGCTGCTGCTGCTGCCCGCGCCACTGGGCGCGCTTGAGGGACCTCACCCGCCGCCCCTACTCGCGCGCGCACCTCAAACTGCCCGGCATCGGCCTTGCCGTTGGCTCCCTGCTGCTGCTGTGAGTGTGCAGTGTGCACCATGCACAGGCCATGCAACACAACACAGGCCACGCAGCAGAGCGTTGCATGCACGCCTTGGGTTGGAATTTGCTCCGCTGTTGGTTGGCTTATTGCTTTCGCAGCTGCACAAGCAGCTGTTGCGCCTTGCGCCCTCTTCCCTCGCCGCTCCCCGTACCCACACCCCACCCCTCTCCACCTCTCTTTATCCCCGCCGGTGCTACAGGGGCGGGTTTGCAGTGATGCTGGCGGGGGCCATACTGCTGCAGAAGAGCATGGGGATGGTGAGGGACGGAGCAGTGGAGCGAGTGGGAGCAGTGGTGAAAACGGTATACAATGTCTCCCAGGCCATGGCGGGGCTTACAGTGGTGGACGTTGATGGTAACCAGATGCCTGGTATGTGCCCTGGGTGCCCGTGCTCCGTGCTGCGGTGTAGAGCGGTGCAAAGTGTGCTGTGCGGTGTGTCTAGCGGTGGAGAGGTGCGCGGAGCTGTGGAGAGCTGCGTGTGGTGCTGGCAGGTGAGGAGAGAGGGGTTGAGGTAGATGATATGTCATGATGTTGCAGCTGCTCAGAAGCATGAAGCAAGGAAGGTGGAGGCAAGGAAGGTGGAGGCCCGAGGAGTTCTTTTTCAATGTGCTCCCTCTTCCTTTCATCATCGCGCTCAGGCCCATCTACTCCTCCCTCCCTCCCTCCCTCCCTCCCTCCCTCCCTCCCTCCCTCCCTCCCTCCCTCCCTCCCTCCCTCCCTCCTCCCTCCCCCCTCTCCACTGTATCATCCCTACAGACAGGGCGGGCGTGCTACAGCGAGCGAAGTACGTGTGGTCGATAGCGGACGGCATGCAGAGCTCGTTCAACGCCGGCCGCGACACGGCAGACCGTGCCATCAAATACATGTACGTGCCGCACATACACACGCGTGCACAGCGGGGATGGGCGGAGGGAGGGGGAGGGGGAGGGGGAGGGTTTGGGGGGTTGTGTGGCTGTGAGGCGTCATGGCCTGAAGCATCCATGGATGGGCCGCCCACCGGCTCATATGCACGTGATCGCCAACCGCACCCACCCTGCCTCCTCTCACCCAGCCCCCCATGTCCCGCTTGCCCCATATGCCTCTCATCCCTCTCGCCCCATGTGTGCGTGCATCAGGTTCATGTCCCTCTTTGCCATGGGAGCTGTCATCACAGCACTGGGCGTGGTTGGCGTGGGTGAGTGCTCCGTTGCCCCTCCACGTGTATAAACGGTATATTTGAGACGTCTCAAAAGTAGGCGTGGGTGAGTGCTACGTTGCCCCTCCGTCACACCCACCTGTCGTACCACTCGCAATTGCAGTTCGCTTTCAGTTGGATTGAATCATTGCCTATTGCTCTTTCATTCAACCCCTGCTGCTTGCCTCAACCGCTCCCTCCATTCCCTCGTTCTCTCTCCCCTTTCCGCTC